AAATCTTTCCCGTGCCATGTAACTTCAGTTCCTAATTTGTGACTCATAAAGGGGTGGATGAATGCTTGTCTTGTTTGCTTTGCTTCCTGTGTGGGGGTGTGCTGTGGGTTTGTTTGTTTGTTTTCCTAAGGTTAGTATCAAAGAGTGTGCCTGGTATGTCTTGTCTGAAACCTGGGTGCAGGAGCAAGGCTTTGTATATTCTAGAACACAAGCAAAAACAACCCTAAAGCTTGTTTGCTTTTCCTCTTGGCAGATGCTTTGTGTGACAGTTTGAGCAGAGGCAGATTCCTGTTGTGACAAATCCTAAATGTCCGTTAATGACTAACAAATGTCTGATTGCCTGATCTCTGGTTACATGCAGTGTGTGTCACAGAGACTTGTTCCAGTGCTTTATTCAGCTTCTTCTGCCCCCAGAGTGCAGATTCCTCTCATTTATTGCAGCTCTCTCCTTTGGGTAGTGTAGGTATTCAGTCTGCACATGTTCCAAGTTGGTGACATTTCTCCGTGGGCTGCTGGATGCAGTGGGATCCTTTGCCACACTAGAGGCTCAATTGTTTATAATAGGCACAGCATAATTACTGCTGTAACTTCCCTGCAAGGAGTACGTTGTCTGAGCCAGAGGAAAGAYAGTCAACAACATGCTTATTTATGCAAATGTTACCTCGTGCCTAATACCGTGTATCAGTGTCAAGGAAAGCAGCTGTAGCTGAGGGGGATTGCTGTTCCTGCCAGTTCCCCGGTGTCCCACGGGAAGGCGATGTGGCACTGTGCAAGGCAGCGCTGGCTTCCCRGGGCTCCCCAGCCACCCAAGCCTTTCTGGTGAGAAATGGGAAGAGTCTTCCCCAATGTGCCGAAACACTGGAGAGCTCCTTATGCTCAAAAATATAGAAATACCCACTCTCTCTTTCTGGCTATCACAGAGGATGTATCTTGGRTTTTGTGCTGTGTCAGTCCAGGGGCTTCCAGGTGAGCAGTCCTTAGCAGGTCTCTCTCTGTGTCAGTGGCTCAAAACTTGATTTGCTCAAAAATTACCTGTGCCACGCCTCCTTTCTTCACAAGTAATGTGCTACTGAGTTTCACAATTGCTTTGAAATTCAATAAAAACAACAGTAATAACAAAATAAGCCATAGGTATAAACCAGACCTGYTGTTCCTGTGCACCAATGCATTCTTACAAGCGTGTACCACTTGACATCCTGTTTTCAGTATGGGGCCACAATTCAAGTGAGTGTAGTTGTGGTAGTTCATTGATAATGCACAATGTTGTAATGTGGCTATTAATTCATATTGTTCAATAAATTATAGCTAACAAGTTCAGTTACTTGGAGGGGCAGAGTACAAAGGGAAAGTGGTCTTACCTGGCAGCTAAAAGGATTTTAGCTCAGGACACATTCTGGCTTGGGTAGATGGAGTTTGAATTTAAGAGAATGTCCTCGAAATTACACCATGATTTTTGTGCAGGTTGTGCTCTAGTAGCTTCATAATACAGCTATRGCTTGTACTTAGAGCTCAGAGAGGGCTTTCTGAATGACAGATTGTTAATTTAGTTTAGCCCATTTTAGTTCTGAAGGCTATATGCTAACTCCATCTCCTTAACACAGTATTGATTTATTACCCATACTGCAGTAATGCTGCAGAGCTGGGAAACCAGAGGATGTGGATTGTGTTCCCAGCATMCTATCTCTAATTTACGGTATAGGTTCTGTGAAATCACTGTAACTGTGCTTTGGCAAATGGGATGATACTTCTCTGCAGGTCTAAAATGCTTATATTTCTGTGACTTTCTGTGGTGGTCAGCTATTGACTGTTTTGACAGTTGAACATCCCAAACTTTATTTSTTGATAATAAATATTCTTATATCTGATGTCAACACATCATGCTTAGTCAAGATGATGTTCCTACATGGTTCTGTTACTGACATATGTATTTTGGGCTGAATGTATGGGAAAGTGGGGTAACATTTGGTTGCCTGTATTGGCTTTTTTTTGTCTGCCGTAAACTCAAACTTTATCGATCTTCACACTATACTAATTTTTATTCTTTTTTTTAGTTTGAAGATCTGAACACGGTGGCTGARTGTCTGTTTTCTTTGGTCAATGGTGATGATATGTTTGCAACATTTGCTCAAATCCAGCAGAAGAGTTCACTGGTGTGGATGTTCAGCCGAGTGTATCTGTACTCCTTCATTAGTCTGTTTATATACATGATCCTCAGCCTCTTTATTGCACTCATTACTGACTCCTATGACACYATAAAGGTAAAGATTTGTTTTCTGTTTCACTTCTAGTCTGTTTTGTATTCATTCATGTTAATCACTCAGCACTATGCCATCTACTATTGGTTCTGATGAGTGATGAGATCATTAAAATCTTTTTGTTCATTCTGTGGCAAAATTGGGAGGATGACTGGGTTTGCTGACATTCCAGAGACATGCCTTTGGCAGGAGTTTGGAAACTTGGGATTTAGGTGCCCAGGTCTGCTTAATGTGCTGCTTGGAAATGCATAGTTAAAAGGAAGTATCTTCTGAAAGACGCACTACTTCTTCAATTTAAAATGGTGCCATCTGTTTCCAGTATGAGCTGTCTGAAAGTGAACCTGAATTTTCAGTAATTGCCTTCTGTTCTTGACCTTAAGTGCTGTCTGCCCTCTGTGCTCCTGGAAGTCTCAGTGAGCAGTGGGGTGGCAATGTGGATCATCTTCAGCTCTCACCTCTTTCTTGTTTTGGTGTCAGGAGCAGGCCAGCAGAGTAAGGCTGGTCTGACATGAGCTGCARTTTCCAGACTGAGCAAGAGCTTCACTTTGGAAGCATCTCAAAATCAGCTTAATCATGTGTGCTTCTGAGATTGCTGGATGGTCTGCCCTGCTAAATGGTGTTTCACTATTTTACTCTTCCCTCTGAGCACTTCACATAGATCAATTGGGAGCTATTTCAGGGTGCTCAACTTGTTTTTTTCATAGCATTTCTTCAGCATGGCAATGTTGAATGGCCACCCTGAGGCCCTTCAAATCCAGCATTAGAGTTCTTAGGGAAGAGGAGCCCAGGGCACTTGAAGTGAGCACAGCAGCTCACAGTGGACAAGGGAGAATCCATGCTAYTATGGCCTGAGATCACTTGCATGACCTTATGGACAGCAAACAGAACATAAGAGAATCTGTGAGCAATGTGAATTTTCTGTCACTTACATTGTTGGTGGGACAAAGCAAGCTATGTAGTGTTTCTAGGATGGGAATGGGTTTTTCCCTTCCTACAGCAATATTGAACAAATGGTTTAGTTTTACTGTCACACTCTAGAGGAAATTTTAGAATGTTTCATGCTTAGTAACTTCTCATACATTGTAMATGAAATGCTTTTTCTTTCAGAAATACCAACAGAGTGGTTTCCCAGTAACAGATCTACACGAATTTCTAAAAGACCATAGCAGTGCTGGCTACAGAAAAGAGAGAACTTCTTTTCCATTCATCTGCTGCTGCAGGAGGTCAGTAGGGTGTTTTTAATGAATGTCTTCCTGAGAAGTACAAGAGTTGCTTCTCGCTGCAAAATGCTGATTTACAAATATTGGAGTATTCAGAATTCAGCCTGTAAAATAYTTGGATGCTGTTGTTCCTGCTGTGCTTTGCATCATGTTAGATCTTTAGTCAGCTGATGATGCAAAGGCAGCGATTCTGAGCTTGAATATGTTTTAACTGTTACAGTCTTGTGGAAACTATGACGCAGAAGCTGATGAGAGCACTGTGGAGTATGGCATGAAACTACTGAGGGCTCAGGAGCAAACCTAGTCCCTGCTTCTTGGGGTTTTGCTAGTTGTGTGGTTCTAAAAATCATTGCTACTAAGATTGGAGTAGTTGGAGAAGGCAAGAGTGGGTGATTCAGCCTGAGGGTGGTGCTTACTCCCCAAGCTGTGCTGTGTCTGTGAGGCAAACTGAATACCCTCTGCCAGGATATTGGAAACACACTGGACAATGTGTGTAGACACTGTGGTAGTGGTCAACACCTGCCTAAGGTGCTGGTGAGAGATGAACATCTCACCTGGTGCTTGCTGGTCTGGGACCTTGCTCTTTGAAGTCTGTTTCTGAGGAAACAACACACCTCTGAAGCCGTGTTTGAGACAGGAGGGATCTTGTCACTGTCCCTGGGCACTCCAGGATAATCCATTCGTGTGCACAGAATGGTTGTGGGCACTGTGCAAGGAAGCCAGGCTATGGGAGCAGGAACAGAGCTAAATGTGAACACTTTATCACAACAGCTATAACAAACCCTGTTTTAGCAGTAGGATACTTGCCTACTTACACATTGATGCTTTTGTGAAACGCAGCTTTATACTTTTGGTGTACCCTGGCAGAGGGGGGACCCCAAATGGAGCACGTGAGATCATGATGGGCAGGTATCCCAGCAGTTGCTGGGGGCACATGAAAGCCAACTTGCTAACAAGATCTCCAGCCAAGTCCAGCTTCAGGTTTCACATGCAGCTCATTGTGTAGAATAAGAGATTTTGTGTGCTCGAGCATGATRAATATACACTGTAATATCCTGTGCAGTACTGTGGGCACAAGCTTGGTAGTTGGAGTGCAAATCTAGAGCTTTTMCTACTGCAGCAGTTTTTGCATCATTGTCCAGTGCAGGTGTTGGAGTTGTATGCTGAAATGAGAGAGCAGAAGGATCAAAACTCAGCTTGTGTGGCCAAATGCTTCCTATTGCGTTTCTTGCTGAATGGAGAATTGTGAATCTTTTTTCTTTGCAGACAACAGAGTGATGACAACTTGATACTTATTAATTGATGGCTGCACATTGAAATTCACCTCTGATATATGCAAAGAAAGCATAGTGGTACAGAGAAGGATAATTCTCCAAATTGCAATGAAACCTACCATCTGGACCTGCCTCATGAACAAACTAGTCCTAGCTAAWTAAGGTTTTGGGGGAAGAAAACTATTAATGTGACATCAGCTGGCTGACCAACAGGAGAGYCCAGAAGCTGTGTCTGGAGGAGAGCTGTGAAGAATTCTGTATTCTTGCCTCGAGTTCTGTCATGATAGAGAAGACTGATCCTTGAGAATTGTCTGTAGGAGCTCTGTTTGCTTATGACTTTGAAGAGGAAGGAAAGTGGCTGTGAATTMACTGTTGTTAATAAGAAAAAGAATTCTATGAAAATAATTTTTAAAAAATAACCCTGTGTAAAAAAGTATTAAATAAAAGGAAGTCAAGAAGGGAGGAATTTTTCACTTAAAGTGATGCATTCAGCCTGTCATTTCTTCTTGACACATTTAATTTATTTGAACTAAATTTATGGAAAACTAAAAAGCTGCACGAAAGTGGAAAATAATTGCTGTTCTTCCTCTTGTGTATCATTTTAACACAAACCACTTTTAGATCACAGTCTTTTCTTTAACAGCTTTACTAAAAAGCAATTAATCTTTTTTTTTTACTGTCTTTTCTGTTATACCCACAGTATAGATTTGTACTGTGTCCAGATTAAACTTACTGCTTTAGCTGTAGTTAAATACTTTTTTTGGAAACTTCATGGTAAGCATTATTGGAAGGCTGCTGCAAAGATTTTTTTTTTTTTTTGTAGTAGTAGTAGTATACTGTTGTGTTGTCATAATCCAGAGGACAAATTTAGGCAGAAACAGTGCCATGGAGTTTTATGTCTATTTAAAGCACACGTTAATTGGATGAAAATACAAAACAACTGAGTCTTGCAGTTGGTTTGTTCGGGTGACTTTCTAGCTGTCTTTGGGGTGGTCATCTATAATGACTGCATTTCCCCTTGCTTCTTTATAAACTTTTTAAAATAAGAGCAGAGGACTTTGGGGAACATAAAAGCACTTCCAGGATAGTTGTGCATGGAGGCTAACCAGGCACTTCTGTAAACTTTCAGGAGTGCTGACTCTTCCTGGGGTGGGTGTACTATTTTATTAGATGCTCCACTTTTRTCTCTCCACTATTTGCTCTGTAAGAAAAAACACTCTTCAGTAGATGATATGAGTGTGTTGGCCAGGACTTGGTCTTGCTGTATGTTGTTAACTACTAATGGTGGTCTCTGCAGGTTCAGGCTTGTTAGTATTTCACATGGCAAAGGCAATTCAAAACRCTGCCCTGGTATGAGTGGGATGAGTGCCAGCTTTCTTTTTTTCTTTTGCTTTTTTAATCTCCTGCCTAGTGTTTACCTTCATAACAATTAAACTTTTGTTGTTGTTGAATGCCATTTTGCCTTGCTTAGGCCACAGCTAGGTGTCTGGAACAGATTTCTTGGTGTCAGTATTTTGATGCATCCAGGCTCTGCAAATTTCAATGCTTCTGTTGCTGAAATGTCTTTGAATGTTTTTCCTATCCCAGTCTGAGCAATGTGCTGCTGGGGCCTAGTTTCTCACTACAGCTTCTGGCTATAAATGAAATTGTTGCTGATAACCAAGACTTCATGCTGTTAGCCAAGATTTTCTGTAATTGTCTTTTCATCAGGCTGATGCTAGTTGTGTGATTTAGGACAGAGAATTACAGTCTATCACCAGGACAGAAGAGTCAGCTTTTCTCCTGGTGTTTATCTGCAGAACKTGTTTGGGAGATGTTAGCCTTTTGGTGTATGCTCTGGGGCCCTGGATAACAAAAGAGCTGTTCTGCAGGCTGCAGAATGATCAGCATGGACTGATTGCCAAGGACCCCATCCCTTACAGTGTGCAACCTATTTGGTCATGTGCATGATGTTTTCTGCATTTGCTGGTTAGCTTTTTGGCGTGTCCCTCAGTCAAACAGTTCCATCATGTCTGAAAATGAACCATGTTTTCCTTACTGCTCTGCCCTCTGCCAGTACTGGCAGAAATCCTAGAGATGTGAGCCTAGGAAAAGCAGATACTAATGCATATGTGTGGATAATTAGCCATATTACATTAACATGAAAGTGTAAAACATCACCTCCAGAGGCCTGGTGCCTCTCTTCCCTAAAGCAGGTGAGGTCCATCCCATACCCCAACACTGAGCTATGGTGCAGGAGCTGTCACTCCTCACTCAAGCTCCAGCTCCAACTCTCTCTTTCCAATTCAGTAGGACATTTAATRTGATCTGCCAAAACCATTGCTCAGATAAATACTTGTTTTGTGAGAGAATCCTCAGGGAATGAGGGAAAAGCATTACCAACAAAGGGAATGCAGAGAATACTTTATRATTCTTAACTGATTTTAAGACTTCATTTCTTTAATGGAATCATAAAGCTTTCTGGTCCAGTATTGATTTTTTTTTTGTTGTTTAAATCATATGAGCTAGACTTCTGCTTCAGCCCTACCATATTAGAGCAGGTCATTAATGTGTTGTAGAAACCAAATTTTGTCTTTACTATCTGGTGGGGTTTTTTTTCCCTCTTGGAAAAGAAGAGACTTGCTGGAGGCTATAATTGGTTCTCTTTTCCACAGAGGTGAAACTTGACACAAAATCTGGAATATGTTGATTCTGAATTCTGCACATTAATACAGATTTGAACACAGTTGCTGACTGATAGGTGGTCCCACTCCAGCTGTTAAGGAGGTGATGCATGGTAATGGAAGCAGAACTGGAGCATAAACTTTTGCAAAGTGCTCCGGAAAAGGGCTGTGGCCTTTTCTAGTCTTGTTCTGTGGGAAGAAGAAGCTTTTGCTAATTGCTTATAGGACTTAACAAAAGGAGGAGAGAAATGGATCAGACAGTGCAAAGCTTGCATTAGAAAGATATGGGCAGTAAGAAAGAGAAGAAACTTCCCTGAGCCATCTTCAGGGTGAGCATTCAAGGGAGGGGGAATAGGGTCAATAAGAGTTTGGGTTCTTATTCTGGGGCTTTTCCTTTTTTGGGGATAAAACAGAAAAAAAAAAGTTGGAATGGAGTCTATTTGGCAYTTCATGTGTGATGTTCATGTGCAAGATGGTACCTAGGCTTTAACCCYGTAAGTTTTATGCTGTAATTGTTACCAGGATTTCTGAGAAGTGGGGCAGAGATGTTCTGCTGAGATTTTCTTTTGTCAGTTTTCCAGCTCTGAGCAGACCTGTGCATAGCTCTGCACTGCTTGGACGTATGCCTGGCCTCAGGAAATAGTTCAGGGAGGTGGGAATGGGTCAGATCCATCTGATCGTGGACTTCAGGTAAATTAATCTTGTACTACCTTCTACTTTTGAGTTTGATTTGTCCTTCATGGCAAAGCTGTTTGTGCTCAGTCCTGCCCGTTGGAGGTGACACAAACCTCAAGGTTTCTGTGTCCCTCTGTTGAGCGTGAAGTGGTTCTTGTTTGCTTTTTACACTGTGTTTCAAAGAACAGCTTTGTGTGATACTGGAAGTGGCACTTCTACCTGTCTGTACTGTCCGGATCGATTCACAGAAGTTATTGCAATTTTGTGTGGGCATTGCATTTGTTTCCTAATGATCACGGACCGTGTGATGGGCTTTTTGGGCAGGACCGCGCTTTAGACTCGAGCAGCTCGGGGTTGCTTGGGGGTCTCACTCGCGTTCTCCCCCGCCGCCCGTGCCATGGGAGAGCCAAAGGTGGCCCCGAGCAGGGAACAAAGGGCCGGGTGAGCTCTCCGGTTGCCGGGGCAGGTGCGGGGCGGGCGGGGCCGGACGGGTTAACGCGGG